GTCGCCTCTTTTCTTCGGTTATAAAAGATTTGACAGGTATATATCTTCAATATTAATGGATGCTTCACTGGCAAAAATAAACTTTTATAACACATTCTTCTTAAACACCATTGAACAAGGTTGGATGATAAAACATATCTATTCATCTAACATTTTGTTATAGATGTCTTATATCCAATATTCTCCCACTTTAATAAATTCATGAGGTAAAATTTCTAGAGATGTTTTTAAACAGGATTCATGGACTCCAGAGACTTAATTCGCTTAACTATCCAGTGTCCAGAACTGGATTACCCAATAAGTCTACCCTTTATGCGGGTAGCGCAGCTATCAGCGGATCGTCTTCTCACCGAAATCGAACGAGTTCTTCAGTCTTATGAGGAATTTGTTGTCGATCAGTCGTTGGAAATTGAAGTGGTCCATGTCAAACTGCCCTCGGGGAAAGGACATAAAAAGAAATGCTTTGTTGATTTGGAAAGAAAATTGACAAAGAAAAAATGTTTCATCCGCATTAAAAACAAGGATGATTGGTGCTGTGCTAGGGCCATCATTACGGCCAGGGCTAAACTTGATAAAGACCGAAGATGGAACTCAATTCGACAGGGTCGAAACATACAGAGAACCCTAGCAGAAGAATTGCACAAAATGGCCAATGTGCCTTCAGGGCAGTGCGATTTGGAGGACGTGAAGGCTTTTCAGTCAGTGTTACCTGGATACCAGATCCACGTTCTTTCCAAAGATTGCTTTAACGCCATCGTGTACCAAGGCCCAGAGGCAGAGAAGAAAATCTACTTGTATCATCACAACAATCATTATGATGTGATCACTACGATGCCAGGGTTCTTGAACAGAAATTATTTCTGTCAGAAATGCCAGAAAGGATATGACCACAAAGAAAATCATATCTGCAATGAACCATGTCATCTATGCCACAAATGCCATGACGACCAATCAGAGGACTGGCGGTATTGTTCTACATGCAATCGTCATTTCAAGAATACGATCTGTTTTCTGTTACATTCTGAACAGACGTCCCAAGGCAATTCCACGTGTCGTACATACTATCGTTGCCGTCAGTGCTCCACCACTGTGAACAGAAACAAATCGAGACAACCGCACGTGTGTGGAAACAAATACTGTGACACTTGCAGAATGTTTATGTCAGAAGATCACGTTTGTTACATGAAAACCACAGAAGAGGAAGAAGAAACGAAGCTGTTGAAAAGAAAACGGAAGATAACGATCGATGAAGACGACGAACGACTTAAACAGTGGATATTTTTCGATTTTGAATGCACACAGGATGACATGATCCAGTGTGATGAGGGCTATTTTCCCCAGATATCCATTAAGTGTGGAAATTGTCATCGCAAAAATTGTCACTCAAATCCGTGCGAACAGGGCTTTGTTCCCAGGAAAATCACTTCCTGTAAAAATTGCAACCAATCATCGTGTGGTTCATTTCGACACGTCCCCAACTTATGTGTGGTTCATAAGGTGTGCGAAGAATGCATTGACGAAGACGAGATCAACGAGCATAGCTATTGTTCATTATGCCAATACAAGCAACGCATTTTCAATGGCCCAAACACACGTGACGATTTCTGTAAATGGTTGTTCTCGGAGGAAAACGAAGGAGCCAAAGTCTTCTGTCATAACTTTCGAGGGTACGATAGCTATCCCATCGTCAGTTACTTGTACGAGAACGCCATCTTGCCGGAGGTGATCATGAATGGGTCCAAATTCATGAGCATCGAGATACCTCATCTCAAAATGAAATTCCTGGATTCAATGAATTTCATACCCATGGCTCTCTCAAAGATGCCAAAGGCGTTTGATATACCTGAAGTCGCCAAGGGCTATTTTCCACATCTATACAATCGAAAAGAAAATCAGAGGGCTATCATGAATCACCTACCAGACGTACAGTTTTATAATGCAGATGGTATGATGCCCGATGATCGCACCAAGTTTCTCCATTGGTACGAAGAACATCAACACGATAGTTTTGATTTTCAGAAAGAAATAATCAAATATTGCCAGTCTGACGTCGATATTCTCAGGCGAGGGTGTCTCAAATTCCGGGACATCTTCATGGACATGACGTCACGAGATGATCGGGACGGCGTTGACCCTTTCGAACGCTGCATCACCATTGCCTCGGCTTGTAATCTGGTATTTCGCAGTCTCTTTTTGGAAAGAGAGTCTATCGGCATTATACCACCCCAAGGGTATCGACCGAAAGACAAACAATCCTTCAAGGCCATGCAGTGGATAAAATACCATGCTCATCAAATAAACGTAGAGATTCAACATGCAGGCAACGAAGGGGAAAAAGTGATTGGACCATACAGAGTCGATGGATACTATAAAATAGGGGATCAGAAAGTAGTGATGGAATTTCATGGTGATTTTTGGCATGGTAATCCCAAATGCTACTCTGCCAACACCCTCAATAAAGTCGCGGGAATGACCATGGGGGACCTCTATCAGAGAACCTTGGAAAAGAGAAGGTACTTGGAATCTTCGGGATATACTTACTTACAGATGTGGGAATCCGATTTCGATCGGACCGTAGAGTCCACAGAGGAAATGAAGGCTTTTATAGAGCACTTAGAGTTAACCTCGCCCTTACAACCTAGAGATGCCTTTTTCGGCGGTAGAACCGAAGCCTTTAAACTGCATGCCCAGGCAGATGAAAACACCAGTATCAAATACTTTGATGTGACTTCACTTTATCCCTTCATCAATAAAACGGGCAAGATTCCACTGGGACGTCCCCAGATCGTGACCGAAAATTTTGATCTGCTTCAAAACTACGAAGGACTCATCAAATGCCGCATCCTTCCCCCAAAGCATCTATACATGCCAGTCCTACCATCGAAAATCAACAATAAGCTCCTGTTTGGCCTCTGTCGAACGTGCATGGAAAAACAAATACAGACCTGTGAGCACACCGATCGGGAAAGAATGATCACTGGAACCTGGGTCACCGACGAAGTCAAAAAAGCCGTAGAAAAGGGTTACGTGGTGGATAAGATTTTCGAAGTGTGGCATTTCGATCGCATATCACAGTACGATCCACAAACAAAATCGGGCGGAGCATTTACCGACTATGTCAATACATTTCTCAAAATGAAGCAAGAGGCATCTGGTTGGCCAAAATGGTGTCAAACGGAAGAAGACAGATACAAGTACATAGAAGAATACCACCAAAGAGAAGGAATTCATCTCGAGTACGCTAACATCGTATCCAACCCAGGTCTTAGAGCGCTGGCAAAACTGATGCTCAACAGTTTTTGGGGTAAATTTGGTCAGCGAGAAAACATGCCCAAAACAACATACGTGACCGATCCCTGCGAATATTTCGATATGTTGACTAGCAATCGCCAACAGGTCAAAGACGTCAGCTACGTGTCCGAGGAAATGGTACGACTCCAGTGGGTCTTAGACGACGATTTCGTAGAGACCAGCGGTCGAACCAACGTCGTCATCGCAGCGTACACTACGGCACAGGCCCGTCTAAAATTATACTCCTACCTGGAAAAATTAGGCGACCGGACTCTATATGCTGACACAGATTCGGTCATCTTCACTGCAAGGACGGGGGAATGGTCACCGCCTTTAGGTGATTACTTGGGGGACATGACAGACGAGACCCCTGATAAGAAAATCCTTTCCTTTGTCACTGGTGGACCGAAAAATTATGCGTTTACCGCCCAAGACCAAGATGGGAAGATAAGTACCTGTTGCAAAGTTAAAGGCATCACATTGAATTACAAGAACAGTTTGGATATCAACTTTGATACCATCAAAAATATGATCACCTCCAGCGAATCGCCTGTCGTCACGGTCCGGAACGATTACAAAATTGCCCGAGATTCCAAAACTACAGAACTCATCACCAGAAAGGAAAATAAAGAATACAAACTTGTTTTTGACAAAAGAGTCTTGCAAAGTGGACTGATATCGGTACCATATGGATATTTGAATGTATCGTAGATTACTTACTTTGTACGCAGAAACTGTAATTTGTGTATGTTATGATTTCTTGTATTAGACAATGCTATTATGATAGTCCTTCTATCTTGTAATACACAATAATATTTGAATGTATCAGAGATAATTTATTTTTTACTCAGAAACTGTAATGTGCGTATGTTATGATTTCTTATATTGTAAAATGCTATGGTGAGAGTCCTTCTATCTCAATGTATTGGTAATACACAATTACATTTGAATGTATCATAGATAACTTAATTTGTACCCGGAAACTGTAATTTGTGATGTAATGATTTCTTGTATCCAACAATGCTATGGTGATAGTCCTTCTATCTCGATGTATTGGTAATATACATGTATATTTAAATGTATCACAGATAACTTATTTTGTACTCAGAAACTGTAATGTGAGTATATTATGATCTCTTTTATAATATAATGCTATTATGTCCTTCTATCTCGATGTATTGGTAACACACAGTTATATGTTGTAAAATGATTTTTTATATTAAAATGATGAAAACATTTTCTGTCTTAAAATGAATAGTATCTTTGGGTAGGAAAAAGGTGAAGATAGCAAACCATATGTAGCAAACCATATGGCTTTTTATAGAGTCTTCGTCGACCGGTCACGGTAGGCTAGTGGTAGAGCGTTTGCTTTGTGATCGGGAGGCCCGGGTTCGATTCTCAATCTCGGCGCCGCGTCATACCTTGACGTTAAACAAAGGGAGTGACTGTTCCTTAGCCAAGCGCTCGGCACTAGATGTGAAGGTCACGGGTCTTTCGGATATGACCTTAAAAATGTGTTGGCACGATAAAGAACCCTCACTGCTCAATGGCCCTGTGTGCCGAGTATAGGTCTTACTTTAAAGCCCTTCATCGGCAGACAGTAAAAAATTATCGAAAGGGGGTTAAACAGTATAGAATGAATCAATCGTTCACTTCCTCGGACAACAAGAACTAAACAAAAGACAAAGACATAGGCTCCCGGGGGCCCCGCCGCGGACCTTTGGGCTTCCGGATCCATACGTTTCCGGATCCCTGATATCCGGAGCTCATAAGTTTCCGGTGACCTTTCATTCCGGAATCCCAAGTTACCGGAAACGTTGATCTTGTTGTAATGCACAGTGTAATGAGCCAATCACCGACGAGATCTCGTCTATAAAAGGGGATTTACCGTTCATGTATGTCATTTAGCGAGAGGACGCCAAACGATCAACATGTATACTTGCCAACATTGTTCAAAGGCTTACGTCTGGCCTCACGACCTGATTCGTCATGTTAAACACAAACACACGGAATGGCAACAGCAACAGCAGCAGCAGCAACAACAGCAGCAGCAACAACAGCAGCAGCAGCAACAACAACAGCAGCAGCAGCAACAACAGCAGCAGCAACAGCAGCAGAAGCAACAGCAGCAGCAGCAGCAACAACAGCAGCAGCAACAGCAGCAGCAGCAACAACAACAGCAGCAGCAGCAACACCAGCAGCAGCAGCAACAACAACAGGAGTTTATGTTTCAACATCCTTTTACGGCTAATGTATCGGGACCCACCTCCTCGGGAAAGACGTATTTCGTGAAAACGTTGTTGCAACATTGTATGAGCAAGATTTCCCCTCCTCCAGAGAGAATCTTGTGGCTCTATAAGCGATGGCAACCCCTGTATGACATTATCAAAACCACCGTGTATCCCTCGGTCGAATTCATACAGGGCATTCCATTAGACCTGGAGCAAGATTCTTTCGTTCACCCCGGAACGAGGAATCTCGTCATTTTAGACGATCTCATGTCGACGGCGGCCAAAGATTCTAGAGTCAACGAGTTGTTTACGGAAGGAAGTCATCACAGAAATCTATCGGTCGTGGCTATCAATCAAAATCTGTACTATAATAAAGATCCCACCCAGAGACGAAATTGCCACTACCTGGTCCTGTTTAACAATCCTGTGGACAGACAGCAAATCATGACCTTGGCTCGACAGATGTATCCCGAAAATCCTCAACACCTGTTGAGACATTTTAAAGACGCTACTTCCAAGCCTTATGGATACCTGTTGGTGGATTTGAAGCCTACAACACCCGAACATCTGCGCATGCGCATAGATGTCTTGAATCCTATAAAACAGCACGAAGCAGAGAATTTTCCTCATTCTCTGACAGCTATTCCTATCGAGCGGACGTACCACGGGCCGGTTCCTTTAACCTACCAATCCATTGATGTCTTGAATCCTATAAAACAGCAAGGAGCAGAGAATTTCCCTCATTCTCTGACAGATATTCTTACCGATCGGACGTACCACGCATCGGTTCCTTCAACCTACCAATCCATCGGGTCGGATTTTCAACACGTCATACCTACAGAAGATATGCCTTCCTGTGACGATTGTGGTCTGGTCTTTGAAAACGTCCACGACCTTCAAAGACATGTGAAAAGGTGGTGTCCCGAAAACGGACAAAGGAAAGATGATATTACCCCTATGGAGATGGATGATCCAAAGGCCTCCCCTTTCAAACCAGAGAAGGAAAATGATGACGAACACGAAGTCTTTAACTTTCTCATGGAAAGGGCCAAAGAAGACAACGAAAAACTATGGGACCTGAAATATGATAAATACATAAAGGAAGGTCTATCAAGAGAAGACGCCAGAGTTCAAACGGAGGAAAAAATGAACTCTAAAGACCTGAAGAAATTCTCAGAAAAGTATGGACAACTCATCCTGTACATCCTACAGTTACAACACGGATCCATTCACACCAAGGTCATGGATGATGTTAAAGATTTCCTGTCCGAAGGCTATGACGAAAGCAGAGCCATCAGAATGGCGTTGAATAAGAATCGTCCTGTCCTTGAAGAAATGTGGGATCCTGAGAGTGATATGGAGATCGACGATGCTTCCGAAAGCGAAGACCAAGAGAGAGAGGATGACAAGAGCGAGATGGAAGAAGATAGTGATGAATCCTAAGAAGTCTAAATAACATTTTGAGACTATTCCCTTTTATTGTTTGAAAAATGAACTATCGATTGTAAATTGTTGCATTTACTTGAATAAACAGTGAAAAAAGCAGTATTGTTATTTATGTCATCATAAGTCACGTGATTAGGAATTATATAAGGGGTTGGGGTACACTTAAGCTTCATTTTAACGTTGTCCATGCCAGAAGAAACATGTCTTGGGAGGATTATCTCAAGCAAGTGTATTACAATCCATCCACAGCTGGTAGTTTTACCGGAGTGGATAAATTATTCAGATACGTTCAAAAAGAGGGAAAATATGATATCAGCAAGTTCAAGGTACGCAAATGGTTACAGAGACAAGAACCCTACAGTCTTCAGCGACCCGTAAGACGACATTATCGTCGCAATCAGGTCGTCGTCGCTGGCCTAGATGATCAATGGGACGCTGATCTCATGGACATGACCAAATTCAGCAAAGAAAATGAGGGTGTGCAGTTCGTACTCTTGGTCATCGATATCTTCTCCAAGTACATATGGATGCGACCTTTAAAGGATAAGAAAGGGCCAACGACAGCCCGGGCGTTCGAAGATGTATTGCGTGAGGGGAGGCAACCTAGGAAGCTTCGCACGGACAAAGGACAAGAATTCCGATCAAAAGCCTTCAATAATGTATTAAAGGATCACAACATCGAACATTTTTATTCTCAAAACACCGAAGTGAAAGCCAACTATGCAGAGAGAGCCATCAAGACGATTAAAACTAAGATGTATCGTTACATGACATTCAAACAATCCCAACGATACATTGATCGTCTTCAGGAATTCGCTCGGAGTTGCAACAAGACGTACCACCGCACCATTGACACCGAACCAGAACTGGTTAGACCAAACAACGAAGAAGAAGTGCGCGTATCAACATTCCTGTCTCGAGAGGAGATCCCACGCAAGCAATCAAAGCGGCCCTACAAGTACAAAGTGGGTGATAAAGTCCGCATTTCGAAAATATCATCCATTTTTGACAGGGAATACGATCAAAAGTGGTCTGGTGAAATTTTCATCGTGTTTCGACGTTTCCTGAGGAACGGCATTCCAGTTTACAAACTCAAGGACTACAATGACGAAGCCATTACTGGGACATTCTATCAACCGGAACTCCAAAAAGTGGATGTTAGAGACGAGGATACGTTTAAGATTGAAAAGATCCTCAAGACCCGTGGAAGAGGACCAAACAAGCAATATTTTGTGAAATGGCTGCATTGGCCAAAGAAGTTTAATTCTTGGATAAATGCTGATGATATGGCTGCATAATTTAATGCAATTATCATAGCTTTCCTTGAAATTATATGTATTCAGACTTATGTCGAAACTATTGCTCTTCATGTCTTGCAATAAAATATGAACAAAAACAATGTGTTGTTTTGATCAACCCCCGACTGATCATTACTCGTTGAGACCTTCCATTTGATATGTATTTTTCATTTGCACTTCATCAGCCCGATAGACCCCTGGGCTGAACATTACTCGTTAAGACCTTTGTGTAACCGTTTGATTTTGCACTTGATGACCCCGGAACACCCCCGGGCTGAGCTCTACTCGTCGAGACCTTCCACTTGATATGTCGCATGATACCCTTTAGGTACCCTTTTGATTTTGCACTTGATGACCCCTGACCACCCCGGGCTGAACTCTACTCATCGAGATCTTTCATTTGATAGGTCACACGATACCTTTTGAGTAACTTTTTTGATTTTGCACTTAATGACCCCGTACCACCCACGGGCTGACCTCTCCTCGTCCAGACCTTTCATTTGATAGGTTGCACCCTACCCTTCGGGACACTTTGTTAAAATTTGACCCTTGACCCTACGGCTAAACATAGGTGATTTCAAAATCTGGTTTTCCCGCCTTCCAATGTAGGCCCCATGACCAAAAATTCAAATGCTGCCTTCTGATTGGTCGAACGTTTGATGACGTCATTGCGCGCGAAATTTGAATCGTGGTCTATATGCGCGCTCTCCACTACTACTGTTATTACTCACATTACATGGTTATGACGTCATCTAAAGTAAGAGCAATATTATCAAGTCCAGATCAGAAGACGAACTTGGGACCCAAACTACAGACAGATGATCTACTTCCAGAATGATTCTAATCATCAGACCAACTGTGTTACTATCACTTTATCAAAATTTTTCAAATTAAAGGATGCATGATTAGGGACATTAATACTCCCTGTTGTGATATATCATTTTTTCTTTTTATTTATTTCTTTTTATTTTACATTATTGGTAACCCATTAATTATAATTATGGTTTTCTTTATTTTAATGAAAAATGAAAAATGGTGTGTTACAACTGAAATTATATTATTAGGGTATATAGGCCTGGTACTGAAAACTATATTAATATGCTTGATGTGTATTAAATTTGAGTATTGTACAGTAGTGTACATGCATATAGGTATTTATACATTAACATCATGCACTGCACTTTGAAGTCGTATAACTTTGTGGATATTTAGTACATGCATTTACTAAAAGATGTATGTAGACTGAACAACTACCTCTCCAGACTCTAATATAGTATTACATGATTGTTTTAACTTATTTTTTCCTGCTTTAATTTAGACTTTATATGTAATTCCAGTTGTCAAAAAAAAAAAATTTTTGAACATGTTGAATTTTTAAAATGCATACATAGTATTAGATTTTTCTTTTGATAGTGATCTTTAAAAAAACTGAAATTTTGTCATTTGAAAAACTTCATACAATAAAATATTAAATTAAAAAAAAATCACAACAAAAATGAGACTCAGACTTCCATAGATCTGCTAAATATTATTTTATGTATCCATGTACAAGTAGATATTCATAAACAATTTGGATACCTTATTAAAAAAAAAAAAAAGAGAAGAAGAAGAAGAAATCCACACACTCTTATTGAGTCCCCTGTTAGACTTTTCACAGGATATGTTATTTTATCACTTCTAAAATATTTTTAACTGTTCGGAAAATTATACTGTCTAAAAAAATCCAATATTTTTAGCTTGGTATGTGTTGACAATAATAATCCTGAAGACATTTATTATTGGTAAATTTTATTAAACAAATAAATAAGGATATTCTGGTGAAAGGGGCCACAGATAGATCCGCTCCTCAATAAGGCAGACGACAGCGCCGCCTTTAGGGAAATTCTAACCAATCAAATGCCGTTTAACTTGTTAGCGCGAACTATAAATAAATCTGAACGTCTAAAACGAAAGTAGAAAGGTCTGATTGGATTTGATTTTAAGTAAAAAAGAATTACTACACATTATCCTTGGATTAAATGTTTTTCACTTTTATGAAAGTCTCATCAGCAACGAGAACTTGCGCGTGGATCAAAACGACGCCATTTGTGTCGCGCCTTATTGTCGCCAAGAATCTTTGTTCCATTTCGGGTGACTGGAAAAACCCGAAACCCCCCCATTTTTGGAGAATACCCATACAGGAGGGGTGAAACCCCAATAAAGTGGTGGAAACCCCATAAAATTGAATGTAATGGGGTACTATAAGGCCTAAGGTGATGTTTAATTGAATGATATTGACATCCGTAATTTTTTATAGCCAATTTTACCTCAGAATCGACGGAAATCGGCCGCCATTACGAGTTTACCGTACACCACGCCCGATCTAAATTCGAAGCGAGCTGTTTGTCAATATAATTGTATAGATAATATTGAAATAATTCATAATAATTTCCACAATTTTATTTGTTTTACAATGATAATAGTAAAATATTAATTATGTAATAAGTATTTAACAAAAAATGTAAGGACGTTAGCCATTAAGAAAATATGAATTTGTGTATTA